TAAATTAAACAAGCTTCTACAATATCCACAGGTAAAATCAAAGTCTTGAGGAAAATTAGAAAATATTTTGAATTGTATAAAAATGAAAATCCAAATTCAAAAATTGTGGGATGGAGATAAGCAGTGCTTAGAGAGAAATTAAAATCATTAACTATTTATATTAAAAAATGAGAGGTCTTGATGAACAGTCTAAGTTTCTACCTTTAAGAAACTAAAAGGAAAAGCAAAATAAACCTAAAGTAAGCAGAAAGAAAACAATAAAAAGCAGAAAAAAAGTTTAAAAAGTAGAGAAAAACCAAAGAAATCGAAAGCTGTCTCAAAAAAGATCAACAAAAATTATAAACCTCTAGCCAGACTAACCAAAGAGAGAGGAAGTGAGAGAGAAGGCACAAATTACCAACATCAGGGAGCAAAGAGAGGATATCACTACAGCTCAATGAGACACTGAAAGGTTAAGAGTTATAAATAACACTATGCACATAAATACAATAACTTAGATGAAAGGGTGGAACTAATTCCACAAACTACCAAAGTTCACATAAAAAGAACTAATTCAAATAGGCCTGTATCAAAAGAAATTGAATACACAGGGAAAGATTTTCCAAAAAAATGAAAACTCCAAGCCAACTGCTTTCACCAGGAAATGCCAGGAAATGTTTAAAAAACATTTAAAGAAATAACACCAATTCTATACAGTCTCTTCAGAAAATAAAATAGGAAGCAACACTTCCCAACTTATTTTATGAGGTCAGAATTACCCTGATTCCAAAATCAGATAAAGGCAGTATAAGAAAAAAAGTAAACAAAAACATAATACCAATATCTTTCATAAACAAAGAAGAAAAAAATACTCAAAAAAATACCAGCAAATTGAATCCAGCAATCTATAAAAGAAAAAATGTGCCACAAACAAGAGTGGCTTATCCCACGAATGCAAGGATAGATCAACACTTAAGTATCAATATCAGTATTATGAAGTAACTCATCATATTAACAGACTGAAGAAGAAAAATTCTATTATCACATCAAGTGATGCAAAAAAAAAAAATCAAAGACAGAAATCCAATATTTTCATGACAAAATTCTTAACAATTAGAAAAAAATGGAAATTCTTTAACATGATAAAAGGTATCTTCAAAAAATAACAAACCCTACAGGGACTTCTCTGGTGGCCCAGTGGCTAAGACTCTGCATTGCCAATGCAGGGGGCCTGGGTCTGCTCCCTGGTTGGGGAACTATTTCCCACCTGCCGCAACTAAGAGTTCACATGCCACAACTAAAGATACCTCATGATTGAAGGCAAAAGGAGAAGAGGGCGGCAGAAGATGAGATAGTTAGACAGCCTCACCCACTTAATGGACATGAATTTGAGCAAACTGTGGGAGACAGTGAAAGACAGGGAAGCCTGGCGTGCTGCAGTCCATGGGGTCACAGACAGTCAGACATGACTTAGCAACTGAGCAACAACACACCTCAACAAAGACTGAGGATCCCTCATGCTGCAACTAGGACCCTGTGCAGCCAAATAAATTAATTAAAAATAAGCATTTAAAAAAACCCTACAGCTATCATCAAGTTTAATGGTGAGAGACTAAGTGCTTTCTTCCTAAGATTAAGGCAAAGATGTCTTATCTCACCACTCCTATTCAATAATGCATTTTAATATCTAGCCAGTGTAATAAGAAAAAAAAAAAAGGAACAGAGTTTGGAAAGAAAGAAAACTGTCCCTATTTGCAGAAAATGTGATTTTTTAATGTAAGAAAACCCTATGATTCTACAAGAAAAAAAAGCTCCTAAAAGTAATAAGTGAGTTTAACATGGTTGCAAAATACAAGATCATGATATGAAAATAAGTCGTATTTTTCAACACTAACAATGAAAAACTGAATTTGAAATAAAATAAGCATGTGTGTATGCATAGATATATATTACATGTACACAAATACTGTATATGTATTTATTTATATCAGATTCACAATGAACCCCCCAAATAAATACATACATACATACATCGGTTTAAATCTAACAAAACATGGGAAAGAAATGTTAAAAACTATAAAGTGCTGATTAAAAGTAACATACACCTAAATAAATGGAGACACATACTGTGTTCATGGATTGGAGAACTCTATACATAGTTAGGATGATACATATATAGTCAATTCCCCCTAAGCTAAATTTAATGCAATTCCAATTCAAATGTTAGCAAGATTTTTTTTGGTACAGACACACTGATTCTAACATTTTTATAAAAGTTAAAGGATCTTAAATACTCAAAACAATCCTGAAAATAAAATTGGAAGACTTATAGTACCTGATTTTAAGACTTTGCTAGACAACACCAGTAATCAATATAGTAGTGTCTGACAAAAGGATAGATACATATATATTACATATCCACAGAACAAAACAGAGAATCCAGAAATAGAACTATAAAAATATGGTCAATTGAGTTTTGACAAAGATGCAAAGGCAATTCAATGGTGGTGACACAATGTCTTCAACAAATGGTATTAGAACAAGCAAACAAGTATTAATTACCCTTTTTTATTTTCTGTATTTCATGATGATTTACTATCTTTAAAAACTTGCTGACTGGGGACTTCTGCTCCTCTGAATGCTAACCAATTCTTAGCTGGGGAACACACATGTCTTTTACATGCAACTCCAACCATCCCTAACTCTCACACACCAAGCCAGTATTTTTCCCTGCCCTAAATCATCCCAGGTCAGGTACCAATTCCTATTCCCTGTTTCAGGCCATCTTTATTCCCCAAAGCCCACTGGAATAACTCAAACTAGCCAATCCTATATTGCTTATCCTGTCCTACCTAGATTTTCCCTCAGAAACCCCAAAAAAGGCTTCATATTTGCCTCTCCCCTCCCTCGTGCTTCTGCTTCACCAATCCTGATACCTTTACGGCCCTAAATCGCACAGTGTGATCCCTTCTCTAAGGAAATCTAGGTAATTCATTTTTCAATGACACTGACCTCTCCAAGCCAACATTCAGTCACCACTATAAAATAAAGTTTCATGAGTATAATTTTCACGTAACATCCATATGCAAAAAATGAACTTCAATTTATACTTCACTTAATAAAAAATTAACTCAAAATGGATCATTTCTCAATATCAAACTATAAAGTTTTTGTAGAAAACCACAGAAGTCTTTGAGATCTTGGGTTAGATGAAGCACTCTTAGGTATCATCTAAGAGCATGACTCATAAAGGAGAAATTGTTCAGTAAGATTCCATCAAAATTAAAACTTTCGTTCCCTGACACTGCTAAAAGAATAAAGAGAAGCTTCAGACTGGAAGACAATATATGCAAGCTCAACAATAAGAAAATAACTCAATCCAAAAGAACAGGCAACACAAAGATTGCAAACTTACCCTTTAAAAGATGCTCTATGTCATATAAGTCATTCTAAAAACACAAAACCACTACCACTACATACCTAAGAACAGCTAAAATATAAAAACCAACAACTCACAAGTGTTGAACACACACTTGTTGAACCAACAGCTGACAAGTGTTCTGTTGAGCAGAACAATTGGAACTCTCACACATTGCTAGTTAAAATGAAAAAACTCTAAAAAACAGTTTGGCAATTTCTTACAAAATTAAACATCTACCATACCACCCAGTAATCTCACTCCAAGGTATTTATCCCAGAAATGTAAAACTTTTATCCACACAAAAACTGTAAATGAATATTCATAGTAACTCTATTCTTAATTACCCCAAACTGCAATTGTCCAATTGGTGAATGGATAAACACTGCAGTATATTCACACAGTGGAATACTACTCAGCAATAAAAAGAAATGAATTATTGATACATGCATAACACTGATGAATCTCAAAAGCATTATGCTGAGTGAAAGAAGCCAGTCTTCAAAAGATACATATTATAATTCAATTTATGTGACACTGTGGAAAAGATCAAACTACAGAGATGGAGTACAGATCAATACTTGCCAGGGATAAGAGATAGGTGGAGAGTGTGACTACAAATGGGTACCATGAGGAAATTTTATTGGAGTGATAGAATTATTTCGAGCCCTGACTGTGATGGTAGTGATTACAGAAATTTATACATGCTTTAAAACTTGTGAAACGTACACCAAAAAGAAGTACAGTCATCCCTCAGTATCTAAGAGAATTGTTTCCAGGACCACTCATGGATACCAAAAACCATGGATGCATAAGTCCCTTATATAAAATGGCATTATATTTGCATGTAAATTAGGCATAACCTTCTAGAGACTTTAAATCATCTCTAGATTATTTATAATACCTAATGCTATGTAAACAGCTATTAAGTACAATTAAATGCTATGTAAATAGTTACCAATGCTGACAAATTCAAGTTTTGCTTTTTTGGAAGTTTCTGGAAATCTTTTTTCCCTGAATACTCTCAATCCACAGTTGGTTGAATCCACTAATGTAGACCCCATGAATATGGAAAGTTGACTGTATTTTGCACATAAATTTTTAATAAAAACCATTTTAAAGAGATACATAAATGCCTTGTCTTTAAATAAACCATTGGGTTCAATTTGAAAATTTAGTTTACTCAAATTCTGGAGAACAGATCACACTTGTCTTTAAATAAGCCATTGGGTTCAATTTGAAAATTTAGTTTACTCAAATTCTGGAGAACAGATCACATTGTGCTGATAGAAGTTTCAGGGATTAAATCCATTTTTTTAGTCAAGCCAAGAAAGAGTGGCTTAGAGGCAATTTCAATCACTCACCCTTCAATTTTAACCAAATGAATCATCAATCCATGGAGAAGAGAATAGATAAAAAGCTCAAATCACGTACTAGAATTAAAAACTGAGAGTCTTTTCAAACTCTAAACTTTCCTATAATCTCAGAAATTAAATCCTGTAAGAATTGCAACTCATCAAGTATTCTAGAGGTTATACAGTCTGTATATCTACAGATGTACAAACTTTTTTTTTCTCTTTAAAATACTGAAGAAATTACTTACAGCTTTAAGGGTAAGATCACACTGGAAAACAAGTTTACGGAGTTGTGCTAAAATTTCTCTTTTGGTATTTTCTAGATCATTTCGTCTTTCTTCAACATTTGTCACACACACTTTGTAGAGTTCATTTGCTTCTTCTACCTTTAGGAGTTATCAGAGAAAAAAAGTGATGCTGGTTCACTGAATCTGTATTTTAAAATAAATACTTATTCTAGTAAAGCTCAATTTAAATGACTGAAATGGCTTATGCGTGAAAGTTCTGAAACATTCTATGTTTTAGATAGAATATTCCTAAAGATAAATATTCTGTTTTGGTCAGCAATTCAAGGACACCTGACTTCTATGAATAGTTAAGTATAATTTACAATTAGTACATTGTCTATAAAATAAATTTCCATTAATAGACTTTTCTATTTATGTTTACCACTTCCTATAATTTTCTTACAGAATTTATCAATTATATTTCATAAATATTAATAACACAAAGCTTCTGCCTAGTCTTGCTAGCAGGTACTAGAATAAGCACACATAAACACCCAGTTACCTAAATGGTGAACCTCCTCAACAATCAAGCAGAAAATATTAAACGATTGCCCTGAGATAGTTCCTTCACAAATAAACCCCAAAATTCAAAATATAAGCAAAAATCTCTTAGCACAGTGGTTCTCAGAGTGTGGATCTTGAGCAGCAACAGCAGCAGCAGTCCTGGGGACTTGTTTGAGATCCACGTCGTCTGGGGCCAACTCCAGACCTACTAATCAGAAACTCTGAGGACACGGCCCAGCAGTTTGTTTTGACAAGCCTTCCAGGTGGTCCTGATGCAGGTTAAAATTTGAGAACTGAAGCCTTAGCAGATTATTGCTAACTCAACAGTAACAAATAACAAAAAAGATGATTACTTTTTGAAGAGCCTCCTCTTCCAGCCTTCGCTTCTTTTCTAGCTGCCTATTGAGATTTTTTACTAATCCACTACTTGAGCTCAGATGTTCTTCTTCGGCACGAAACATGGAAGATTTTGCTTTTTCATATTCATCTTGACGTTGCATACACAACAATTTTGCCTTTTTAAGAGCAGTCTCTGTTTCAAGCTACACAGAATAAAAAGAGTATTAATATTAAATACAAAATAAGAAAACTCCTAATGTACAAATCTCTTTAGCATATTCAGCAAGACAGTTACTACTGAATTTTAGATAAACTGTAGAAGATATGCATCTTCCCAGGGTATATATGCTGATAGATTGCTCATGATTTTTAGATGTTCACAAATAGATGAAACTATTATAATACTAACCATTTTATTTTGCTCCTGCTTCCAAAGTTCTTTTATTTCTTTTCTTTGCTTTTCCATTTCATTTTTCCTCCCAAGTAGAGGCTGCCAAGGGCATTTTAAAACAACAACAAAAAAAGAGAAGAGAGAGAAAAAAGCTATTTTCTAAAGGTACACTGCTGTTTAAAAAAATAAAAAGTAAAGAGAAAAAAAGTATAGTGTATATAAAAAAAAAAGTACAGTGCATATATAAATTTTTACCTGCACAAATTTGTTGGCTTGGAGAGCTGCAATTGTTTGCTGTAAAAGGTGACTATTCTCTATATCATTAAGAAGGGCATTGGTAAATAAAGACTGCAGTGGCATAAACTCCTAGAATTTAAAATTGAAAAGAAAATTTTCCAATAGAAATGTACTAGAGTTCTAAATCCACCCCCATTATCTTTCTTCAAAAAGAGAAATTTTTAAGTTTAAATTTTTCTCAGAAAAATGACTATTCATAAGTATGACCATATGAAAAAATACTGAAGAAAATTAATTATAAGTAATTCTTAAACTAGTCAGCAAAATTAGTAGCTAACAAGATAATTAATATTCATATATATATATATATATATATATATATAAAACTGTAAATTTCCTAGCTTCTTCAATAATGAATATCTTTGTAAGTTTAAAAAGATTTTATCTTGTCAATAAAAAGGTTACTTAGCATTCAAGTTCTTTCCTGTACTAAGGACAAAATTTTCTGATTTTACATGGTATTATCAGGAGCTGAGTAATCGCTTGGCATAGAACCCTAGTAGTTCACTGACCACTTACCTGTAGTCCAATGTTAGTTCTAGTTGCCTCTGCTAACTTAACAATATTTCTAGTGGACTCCAATTCTGAAAACGTCAAAGAAGGCATCAGAAGGTAAGTTCAACTTAACTTTTTCTCCTCCATACTCTAAAATTATCTGTAATCCCCCAATTAAAAAGTGATCACAAAATACTAGTCTGCATCATGGTATGAAGCTATGATTCTTAATTGAAAGTACTCATCAAAATTAACTGGGAAACTTTCAAAATACACTTGCATAGATCTCACCTCTCTGGGGGACTGGGACCTAGGCCTGTTTATTATCCGTTTCTAAGGCTATTTAGGTGAATCTGATGGGCATCCCGTATTAAAGGCAAATAATGTAATAGAGCACAGGTTTTGGGTAAATTCTGTATTTTGCCAGTTACTAATATGATCTTAGGCAAATCTGCTGACCTTAGGCAAATTCCCTGTCTCATTCACCTCCTCTGTTAAACAGGAATAAGAATTTTGTCTTGTCTACTTCCCAGGGTTTTGGTAAGGATTAAATCAGATAAGGGATGTAAAAGCACTTTGTTAATGTAAAACACTGGGAAAATATTAGTTATTAAGATGTTCCTTATATATGTTTCCATTGCCTTCTGATCTGATAGCTAGATTTTATCTGATAGTTGTTTTTTATCTCCTTTAACTATATTATCTGATTGCATTTCTTTTCGTTCATTAGAGTATGACTTCTTTAAAAGCAAAGACAGTACACTGTCATGGTGTCCCCATATCTAATGGTTGGTCCACAGTTCAATGTTCAATAAGTATATTTACTTTAAGGAGAGCCTTCCGTATTTCAAGAAAAGAAAATGGACAATGATTTTATTCACTACAATGAAAGCACTACTAATTCGGAATCATTATTTACAGTCTGTAGAAAATGGATCACAAAGAATTCAGTTCTTATGTTCCAGAGTTAATTAGATGCCCCAAAGGGCAACTCACCCAAATTCAGCTTCTTTTCAACCCATGAGACTATGTTCTTGGTATATTTTGACCATGTTTTAGCATATGACAAAGCCAGTTCTACAGAATTAGTGTTTTTTAACAGCATGCTGTCTAATTCTATAGGAGAAAAATTTCCTGAAAATAAAAAAATGTCAAGGTAAGTATATATTAAATAAGAGCTCATAACATGAAACCTTTAAAGGAGCATTAAAATCCTAAGATGTTTTTCAATGAAAACTGGTTGAAAAAAATGTGACAAATTCAGAAACAACGGGTCACGGTTTGAGTTGAAAATAATTTCAAATTACATTTTAAAATCTCAATGCATATTTCTATTATTCATCAAGTTACAAACCCTATATAATTGTTGATCAGTCTCTATCATCACACTATCTGCTCTAGTAGGTTTTTTCCCCTTAAGTTTTATATGTAAAACTACATATTATTCATCTTATGTCTAAAATAAATACTTTTGGCTACTAAGCAAGGAGATTAAGTAATCCGAAACATTTATCAAAAGTAACTGCAAAATGTCTGACTAAAATTTTAAGTACCTCAAACATTACCTTTTTCACTGGATGAGTCCACTGATTCCACAGAAATACTTTCAAAAGACTTTAAAAAGGAAGAAAGCAAATTTAAGATTACAGCAGAAGGTAACACATCTTTGCTTCAAACTTTTTTCACTCTAACTCGTTACTCTGAGATAATTCCTACTAAAAAATTTCAAGCATTTAGAACTCAAAGAGCCTGAGAAGCCTGTTTAAATGCCAGAACATTTAATAAGAACTATATAGCTTTTTACAACAGCAGTTCTCAAGGTCCAAGAATGAATAACCTCTTTGTTTACTAACAGCATTAATGAATCCATTCAAAATTTTAAATTCTGAAGAATTTAAATTCTCAAAAATATTAGTCAGCAAGTTATAGAAGCAATCTAAATAGACTGCTATCTAAACAGAAGACAAAGACACTCTCTTTCAGCCATCCTTTACCGTTTTATTATATGATAAGCATGTTGTGCAAAGTCCTTTGGACAGCTTAGTGTGGAACTTTCTATGATGACGGAAATGTTCCATAGCTGCACTGTCCAATAAGGTAGCTACTAGCTACCTTTGAAAAGTGGCATTTAAAAAGTGGCTAATGTAAATAAGAATTAAAATTTTAATTTAATACACTGCATGTGACACGTGGCTACCTTAATAGACAGTGCAGGAAAAGGTTATCTATCAAAATTGTGAGAGCTTATTATTCAATGCAAAAGCAATCATGTAAAACCTACGTTTGAAGTCAAGCTCTATCACTTAGTAGCTATATGACACTGACCTACATATTTATACTCACTTAAGTTTGCTTGCCCCTTCATAAAATGAGGATAAGAACACCACTTCATAAGACTATTTTAAAGATTAAGATGATGTAGGTTTGGGGCTTCCTTGGTGGCTCAGTGGTAAATAATCCACCTGCCAATGCAGAAGACATGCGTTCAATTCCTAATCCAGGAGGATCCCACAGGCCATGTGGAGCAAATAAGCCTGTGTGCCACAACTACTGTAGCCTGCATGCCCTAGAGCCTGTGCTCCAAAGTAAGAGAAGGCACTGCAATGAGACGCTCATACACAGCAACATGGGCCACAACAGGAGCACATGAATAAGACATATGATTCACACCTAAAATTTAAATTGTTTTAGACCCCTGTTACACCAATAGAATGTTTTATTACACTTTCTAAATTAGCAGCAAGCTTGAAACATATAATTGAGGAAAAATCATAAATAACAGCATAATATTTAAAGATCTTGAAATTCTTCATAATTCTGATATGGTTTCTATACTGTCCTCCTTCAGTCATCAAATGGATGACTTCAGAATGTCACATTTTTTTTCTAAATACTGTAGAACATATAACAAACGGCCTTTAAGTAGTCATTCACATTTTGTATTATTTAAGAAAGACCTATAGTTCTATTATTTTGACATAATAACAAGTAGTTAGCACATTTCCAAATATGTGTTGAAATCCTTTTGGATCGGAATTCCAATCCTTTTTGGAAATCCTTAACAGGAAATGATCAACACATGTCCCTAATGCAGTCTGTTTAAATATCTTGAATTTGGTGAAAAAATATTACTCAAATGAAAATATTACTACTACGATTACTATAAATCTTTCAAGCAATATTCTACATACATTCCTAATATTCTATTATTTCACAGGCCTTTTTCTGCAACTAGGAATCAGAACTCTAATTCTTTGACATACTTATAAGGATGCTCTTAGGGAGAATTAAGACCTACAGTTTTGTTAATAAGCTGTTTCATAGTAACAAACAAACTGTAGGGTATGTGAAAAGAGTAACACCCTCTTCACTTCCTGTATCATTTTTCTAAGTTTCCACCAGTCTTTAAGACCTGTGACACTGTCAGGAAAGAAAAACAGCTAAGAACTACTGACTAAAATTTTGGATCATATGACATATAGATTCATTACATAAGACACTATAAAATTATCAGATACATTCTTTTAAAATGATAGTGTCACTTCAAAAGTACAACTAAATTTTTGGCCCCCAAATTGGCCATTTTCTTGCTACATTAAAAAACTATCAAAGACTAATGCTGAGATTAAGATTAGGATATTATTAAAATAGGAAGCTAAAAATATTAAAGTCTTTGCTTTCATACAAACTTGGCCTACCTTACTTTCCTGAGAAACAGGCAGTCGCAATAATGAATCATTGCCTACATCTCCCATAAGGAAGTTTGTCAAGCTATCCAGGGGAAGTTTAAAAAAAAAAAAGAAACAAATTAAAAAAACAAAGACAAAACACAAGTCGTTATATTGCTCTGTCACAAGCTTTACATTCAACATGTCATCTAGATTAAAAGAGCCTTAGATATAAACTCCTAAGACTCTATCCACATAAACTAAGCAGTCACTCACAAATGGATGCTGCTTCTGAATGGCCATAAATACCTCCAAATACAGCAATAAAGCAACACAGGATATAGCTTTTCCAAAGCTGTGATAATATTTTATGTTGGTTAATACTTTACTTTGCTTTACATACTGAATTATTGTGACACATACTCTCACTGAGACACTCAGGCCCTAAATTCTTGAAATGACAGTCCTCTACTTACATATTTCCAAAGGTAAAGGCCAAGGTTTCAATAGAAGAAAACACTTCTCTGAAGAGATCATTTTTGTTTTCTTCATTTACTTCTGTGAAATTCACAGCTGTAGGGAAAAGGGGTTACAATAAATGAGGGGGAAAATAAACTAGATTTATACAAAGTCATTTAATCCCATAAAAATCCACCATTACTTTCTAGAAGCATTAGAAGATTCAGAAACTAAAAAAACCTAACAAAGTAAATATGATGTTCAAGTTCTTCATTAAAGAAATCCTACAAAAGAATCACCTTGCATAAAAGTAGCTGGCATTCCAAACTGACTCCTCCACACACTGCATTATTTGGCACATCCAAAAAGTGATTCAATGTGAAATCAACGGATCTTGAGTCATGGAGACCACATTACATCAGCCCTCTCTCAGTAAGAGAGCTCTGTGCTATTTTCTCTTGCTTATTGCTTCATGGCATTTTTAAAAAACAGTTAAATGCACTGTGGCCCACTTAAGTCAATAGGAAGTACATTTTCCACTACAAATTACCAATATCTAAAGTCATATATACATCTGACATAGCATAAAACCTATACACAAAGTCTATCATATTAACAACACCCAATACTTAAAAAAATTTTAATTCCTTATTTCTTCCTTTTTAAAATCTTATTTCTTATAAGGTCCTTAGGCTCTGAGGTCCATTTAAATTGATATATAGCTGTCGTTTGTTTATCATAGTGATATTCTAACATTTTTGCATTTTGTTAAAGAAAATTATGAAACATAACTGGAAAAAGTTTCTTATTATAACTTTGTCTTTACACACCTTTGTTAAAAGCCCAGATACAATTTACAGAGACAAAACTTGAGGGTTGAATAGGTAAACTGTTTGAAGCATCACATTCTACTCAGACTGAGTTTAAGGAGCAACTGGCTCCTTGTATCCCACCCTCTCCCAGGATCCCTGCCAATCACCCTCCCTAGGATCCCTGCCAATCACCCTCCCTAGGATCCCTGCCAATCACCCTCCTAGGATCCCTGCCAATAACTGGAAGAAGAAAAACCAAGTGGAGACGAAGCTATACTTTGTTTAAAAACAGAATTGTTCTTAAGCTTGGTTGTACATCAGATTTACTTTAGAAGCTTTAAAAACAAAATCTGAGGCCCACCACCCAAGATTCAGATTTTAAAAGCCTGGGGAAGCACAGATATTTATTCAAAATTTCTCCTGGGTGAATCTAATGTGCAACAAGAATTGAAAATGCTTTCTAGAAAGCCAGGATTCCTAAGAAGGGATGAATTAAAACCTCAAACCTGGAAGCCTCAGGAAATTACAACCAAGATTCTATAGATACGAGGGGCTAAGGTCCACACCTTTCATCATATTTCTCTAAACAGTCCTGATACAAAGATGAAGAAAAACTTAAGAACCACAACAAATAATTTTTAAAATATCTCAAAATTTAGGTTGTAGCTTACATAACCTAAACAGCTAAAAGAAATCCATACAAAATATATGAAATAACAGTTTTCAAGACACTAGCTATCAAGCAATGAAGAAGAATCCAAACTTACAATAAACAAACATGCAAGCTCTACAACTGCCCTAAGCTTACTGTCTCATAACACACACAGATTTCTGAGCAAAGGAAACTAACAGAGATAAAGAAGGCCATTTTATAATGATGGAGTCAGTTCATCAGGAGGACATAATTTTATACATTTATGTACCCAATTAACTGCTTCAAAATGTATGAAACAAAAACTAATAGAACTGAAATGAGAAATAGACAAATTCACAACTATAGTCATAAATTTCAAAAACCCTCTCTCAATAATTGACAGAACCTATAGACAGAAAATCAATAGAGGATATGAAAGCCTTCAACCACACTATCAGACACATGGATGAGATGGACATTTAAGGAACCTCTACCCGATGACAGCAAAACACACATTCTTTTCAAGCATACAATGTAAATTTACAAAGATGGACCATATTATGCGCCATAAAAGCAGTCTCAGTGGGTTTAAAGAGATTCTAGTTGCAAAATATGTTCTGTGACTAGATGGAATTAAACAATAAAAATCTCTGTAAAAATCCTCAAATATTAGGAAACTAACACACTTCTAAATAACCCCATGGATAAAAGAAGAAAAAGGGAAATTAGAAAGTATTTTGAACACAATGAAAAGACACTGTATCAATATTGGTAAAGGTGGGGGCAAAGAGGTGCAGAAGGGAGGGATTACCAAGCGGCATGCATCACCTGGACTGTGATGGTTCCACAAGAGTATGAATATCAAAATTGATCAGATTGTACCCTTAATTTAAATATGTGCAGTTTACTGTAAGTCAATTATACCTCAATAATACTGTCTTAAAAACTGCACTGGAAAGTAGACTTCAAACGTAATTTAAAATGGAATACCAGAAAAAAATGTAAAGCCTACTTCTATTTCCTAATTTTAACATGTTAAGACTTTAAAGACTTCCTGGTGGAAGTCTTCCTGGTGGACTTCCCTGGTGGCTTAGATGGTAAAGCATCTGCCTACAATGTGGGAGACCTGGGTTCAATCCCTGGGTCAGGAAGATCTCCTGGAGAAGGAAATGGCAACCCACTCCAGTATTCTTGCCTGGAAAATCCCATGGACCGAGGAGCCTGGTAGGCTACAGTCCACGGGGTTGCAACGACTGAATGACTTCATTCATTCATTCAGACTTTAAAGAAAAGAAAAAAAGATATTTTATAACACTTGGAAGAATTCTGTAATTATTCTTCCTTTCCTATAAATATATTTTTCAAAGCACTAAATAGGACTGGGAGACTTCAAAAAATAACTGTAAGTAATGAAAAGACAATTATTTGAACCATCTTCAGTCCTTATCTTCATCCCTACTCAAATGAGGTTACAGCCATCTACTGAAAATCCTCTTCTTGCCTTTGCCTCCACTTCAAAACAGCTCTATATCTCTAATTTCCTTTCACTTCTTTTGCTCCTGCCCGGGGTTTCAAAGAATAATCTTCAGCTCCTTTCCAAAAATAAATCTTGCCATTCTCTCCTTCTTTCTCCAAAACCCTGTACCACCACTGCTTGTGCTTTTGCTCAGTCACGTCCGCCTCTTTGCAACCCCATGGACTGCAATCCGCCAGGCTCCTCTGTCCTCCTCCCTCAAGGCTCCCCTGGTTCCCACTAGCTGACACTTTTTATGATACTAATAACACACCCAAATCTTTTCTATGGGAAAAATTAAATTTACCATATTTCTCCTTAAAGCTACCATCCTCATTCAGCATTTCTTTACTGACAAACCTCTATAAATAGATAATGACTGAATGCACTAGGATTTGACTTTTCATCCAGTTTAATGGTTAGCAGGGGTTGGAAAACTTCTTCTGTAAGAGGCTAGATAGTAAATATTTTAGACTTTTCAGGCCATACAATCTGTTGCAACTATATTCAACTCTGTATAAAGGAGTCAAACATAAACAAATAAGAGTAGTTGTTTCTAATAAAACTTTATTTACAAAAACAGGCAGCAGGTCAGATTTGGCCCACTGGTAGTACTAATAGTTTGTGCACCCCTGGTTAAAAGGATGGGTTCCAAAGCCAGTATACCTAGGTTAAATCCTAAATCTGTCCATCTCTTATGAGGTCGGATAGCTTAACTGCTCTGTTCCTCAGTTTCTTCATTTACAAAATGGGGATAATAATACGTATTTTGAGAACCACTGTGAAGACTGAATGAACATAGAAGGGAGCTTTTTATATAGAAAATACTCAATGTCTCACTCAATACCACTCAACAACACTGTCAGTAATCTGCAACTATATGAGTCAAACTTAGAAGTCTTTTTTTCCTTTTAAGTGTTCATCCTAAACCACTCTGCAACTCTCAACAACCCTACCACTTAATACATATGGAACTGAACAAATCTCTCTATGTTTCAGCTTTCTTATCTGCAAAACAGGAGCTGATATAATAATTTCCTATAGAGATTAAAGGGTAATCCATGTAAAGAGCTTAACAGTATGTACATCCTCAATATATCATGTCAGCTATTATTACTATAAGTATTAACCACTTTCATCGTCTTGAAGCATTTCGCTTAGAAGCAATACATTATAGTTAACTAGAGGAAGCAAAGCTTCAGAGGTTCAAACCTGAGTTTAAATCTGACCCATATCACTTCCTGTTTTACTCTGGATATGTCACCTAACTTCAATTTCTCCATATGTAAAATGGTGTGTTACAACTTCTCATATGTAAACTGAAAGGAACTAAGAAAACAAATGTAAAGCACCTAGGGTGTGGAACTTGGTATTTAGTAAATCTGAGCACCCTCATGTTCTTCATCTATCTGTAGACAATTTGTGCTTCATACAGTTGTTTCCACTCAGTCCAAATTCTCATCTTGGCCTTCTTCTCTATACATTATCCCCACAGAATCTCACCACTTTCAGTATCTTTAAGGAAATAATCTTCAAACTACCTATCTAGGTTTCTCCTCTGAGCTCCACTGGTCTGTTTGATATGTTCCTCCCCCTCCTTTCTAGTCTTCACCCACCAGCACTGCGATCTCAGCATGTACGAAACCAAACCCTCATCTTCTCATACGCTCTCCCCCTCAAGTCTACTCTTTTCCATACATTTCCTAGCTCATTAGTTTTGCTTCCAAAATGCCTCTAAAGTTTTTTCCTTCCATCCCATTCCCATTGACACTGACTTAGTTCAAAGAGGACATTTTACTTCCAGTCTGGACTATTTAACAACCTTCTAATTAGCCTGTCTCCACTCTCTCCTATTAGCTGACCTTCAAAATCAAATTTAAAAAATTTTGTGCGGTTTAAATATCTCCCTTGAGTTCCCTATTAAGTCACAACAAAGAGCACTAAAACACATTTAGTATCTCTTTAAGGAAACACATGAATAATTTTCATACATATACTCTACTAGAACAGCAACTCTGAAACAATTTTACAATAACCAACCTTTCGTAAAAAATACACATCACATCATGACCAAGTATACCATAAACATATAATAGTTATCAGTTATATAACACCTTTACAGTTTCTGAAACATCCTTAAGCCTTAAACTTCTTTTCTATTCTCTTTCAAATTTTAAAAATGCTGGCTACAATTCATTAATGTGATGTCATAAATCAGAGGCCAAAGTTTGAAAACTACTGAATTAAAAGATACGATGGAAGACAATTTTCACCAGTTGCATGGGGAAAATTGCAAAAACACAAACCAAAAGCTAAAAGATTTATAAAATGAAAACTTCACATTGCTTCTGAGAAACAAAAAAGACAACCTGAAGAACTTACATGCATCCTACATTCTCAGAAATGCTAAGTATACAAATTGCTCCTTAATTTTATTTATAAACTTAATTATAAATTAACTATAATCTATGTTTATAGACTTAATTATAAATTAATTTAAATTTAATTCAAATCACCTTCAAAATATTAACACATATTTTTTGGATAGGACAAATCAATTCAAAAGTGCTTATGGAAAAATAAAATCCTGAACAAAAAGAGTACTGGAAAGAGGAGCTACCCCTACCAGACACTAAAACATACTATAAAACAATGGAGACAATAACGTATTGACACATAACTAAACAAATCAAGGGGAGAGAATAAACTCGAGAAATAGGTATTAAATATAGGTGACAATGTAGTACATTTATGATAAAGATGGCATCTTAAACCAATGGGGAAAATATGAATTATTCAATAAACTAGCTAGAAACATAGATATTCTGGAATGTACCAAAGATTTAAATTTAATAAACAACACCATGAAAACATTAGAAGAAAAAACAATGGCAAATGCTATTATAATCTCCAAGCACGGAAATCTTTCCCTTATAGTCAAAAAAATACAAAAAATTGACATATAGATGCAAAATAAAATAAAATAAGCAACTTAAAAGATAAAAACAAACTGAAGAAAACCTACAACTTATATAAAAGATTAAGGACTAATTTCACTTATACAGAGTTTCTATAAATCAGTAGTAAATCAGGACTAAAAAAAGACCATCAAGAAAAAAATTTGAATCAACAGTCAAGTCACATAAAATGATGTGCAAATGGCTCTGAAAAGCTACTCAACTATACCCAAAATGAGGGAAAAGCAAATCAAACTGAGATACCAGTTTTTGCTACCAGATTGGATAATAAAGTCTGGTCACCAGCTATGTTGGCAAAGGTGTATGAAATTACTTTCTTCAGCATGACTATCAGAAAGACAGAAACTCTATGGAGGATGTTAGCAATATAAAAAACATAAATGCACATGTGCTCTGTTCTAGTAACTACTCACTTAGGAATATACACAAGCTATTCATTGAAGTACTGTTTGTAATTAAGAAATTAGAAACAATCCAAATATCTATTAGTAGTGAACTGGTTAAATTAATTATAGTACATTAATATAATGGAATATCATGTTGCTTTGAAAAAATAAATAACAGCAAAAGAGGACCTTTTATATACAGATAACTCAAAACAATAAGCAAAGAGCAGAATGTTACCCTTTGCATAAGAAAGAGAACATATTGTATTTGCTTCTGTATATGTAATATGTCTTCAGAAAGATACATAAAAAACCAGTAACAGTTGTTGCTTATCTAGGGAAAGGAATTGGTAGCTAAGGTCTGAGGTGGAAAGACACTTCACTGATTGAATACCTTTTTATAATGTTTGCTCTATGAATCATGTGAATGAATTGCCTATTAAAAAATTAAGTTTCAAAACAAAGAAAACACGTGAGGCTTCTACAATTTTGGATACATAATTAAAACTTATTTTTCTTCTTTTGTTGCCAATTTTTAAATATAGGGCAAAATACAGATCATGAAAAACCTTAAAAATGGTCCTTTTATATTACAAATGAGGTTTACCAAAATGCTTGTAAATGATGAAAACACAACTGCTACATACACAATAAATTACTGAGTGAAAGGATGTCTTCATCTATTTCACAAATAAGCTGTATCTCTCTTACCATATTGCAAATATTTTGTCAGACTGAGCTTCCTGCTTGGAAACAACAAGACACAGGAAATACAAACCACTATTTAAATGAATGGGCAAAAGCTAAGGATTTTTCTTTTAAGATTATTAAAAGGTAAATTCCATATTTAAAATAAAAAATAAGAGAAGTTAAAGGATTTCAATTTTATTCCAATGCAACTGTTATTATTATGCATAGGAAGTGCATAGATTTCACGCAGTCACACCCTGAGCGGCACAAACAAAATTATACCTCCCTGCTCTAACTGTCCTTAGGGCTTCCCAGGGGGCTCCAACCTGAAGAATCCTCCTGCCAAGCAAGAGGCTGGAGTTAATTCCTGGGTGGGGAAGATCCCCTGGAGGAGGAAATGGCAACCCACTCCAGTATTCCTTCCTGGGAAATTCCATGAAGAGAGGAGCCTGGCATGCTACAGTTCATGGGGTCATAAAGAAGTCAGACACCACTGAACAACTAAACAACAATATTAAAAAATGGTTTCTACACTTCAAACCCTGGCCTTTCCAGGGTTTGAAAACTAAATTAAGATTAAATGAAAGAATTAAATAAGCTCTAATATGACATCAATTTTCTAGGTTACTGAATATTTCTCATTTGAGTTATCAATGACATTTTTAGATGGCCTCAACAATAAGATAAGGGGGGTTATTTAGAAACTTAAAACTTACACCAAATAAAACACAATTTTTAGTTTTCTAGCTTCATGGAGTCCTACTGAAACAGAGTAAGTGGGGTCCTACTGAAACAATAAATTCCCCAACAACAAAGTAATCTTCTAAATTTCATCCAACACAAAAGTAAGACTGTAACAATAATTCCAAGGGTAAAGACAATATTAGCTGGAAATAATACTCAAAAAATTGCTTTACCTCAAAGAAAAAAGATCTGTAAAGCAGTGGAGAGGTCACTTTCTTTCTGTTTCTGGAATGTGGACATCAACCATACACAGACACCCTCCTTCCCCAGGACATCCTGACTATACACAATAGCTACTGACAACAATTGAATGAACTGTGGTCGTTATTTTCAAGCATGGAAATTTTACTATCTATAGACACAAATTACTCTAACTTACATTAAATTGTGCTTATAAACAATCTATTTAAAAACATATTTGGTTACTATGCATTTTTAAGAGTTACAACAGAAGCTATCCACTTTGAAACCATCTATATTTTTCCAGTGCTTGAAATGGAGAAAAAAAAAGAGAACCACGCAAACGGGATAAATCTACATAAAAAGTAGGGAAGGTAGTTCTTAAGTACATGGACTATATTGTACTGACAACGTTTTTATTTTCTCTTCCTGCCTAATCCCTTGACACTTGCCCTTTGCCCTCTCTACATCAATCACATCATGTTCTTCACATCCAGAGTTCTACAAGCATCCAGAATTGCAGTTCCAATCCCTGCCCTAGACCAGTTAATATTCACCTGACCTTTGAGACTCAGGACAGGTAATCCCTCTCCCCAAAAGAAGCCTCTCATTTCATTACTCAACCTATGGTGACTCACTTTCAGTGAGTTAAACTATTGTTAAACTAAACTGTTAAACTATTTGAGTTCACATTACCTATCAGGTTAACATTTAACACTGACAATCACTTCTTAGAACCTAACATTTTTAAAATTCTGTAACATCTTTCTCCAGATAATCTACCTCATCTTCTCTGTCCCTGGGATCTCACATTCAGCCCTCTACTCAATCTGCACACTCTGAGTTGGTGTCATCCTCTTCCATCACCACTCACAGGTCAACAACAATCCAAGTCCATTACATCTTCAACTTCAAACTTCAGCTTAATCCCTAACACTCAACCTGTCCTATGTTCCATCAAATCAACAGTCATCTCTTCTTCTGTAACAGCCACACTCTACTTCTACCACATCCCAGCTTCTGCCTTAGCTCAGACCGTCAACCCTCATCTAGCCCATTATTTTCCAATAATCTCCTAACTGAACTCCTTTGACCCTGGTGTCATTTTTCTCAATATTTATATAATGCAGCCTAGAATAATCGACTTTAACAATTTTTGGTCCAAATTATTTCATCAAAGGATAATGTCCTAATTCTTATTTCTTTTAGCACATGTAATATATACACACACATTTATATACACATATATGATAAACTTATTCTACAATTTTAGTTTCATTTATCCACATTTTAAAATAAGGTACCAAAAAAAATAAAATAAAATAAGGTACCAATTAAGTCTACTTTTTTCCCATTTGTTTCCCTCCTTTAAGTGGAGTCACTACAAATGGCCATTCTCCAGCATCAATTGTCCTCAGATAACAAAGACTTTTTGTGCACCAGTAACTTATTTCAAAAGAGCATACATACTTTCAAAAAACTCAAAAATTTTAAATGTCAGTTGTTTAGTTAATTTCACTTAGTATTTTTAGAGTGTTTCCTGACAAATAAAGTTTGATTTTTAAGACAAAGAGAGTTTTAGGTGTGACTTAGTGTGTTAGTTGCTCAGACATGTCCGACTCTTTGCAACTCCATGGGTTGTAGCCCACCAGGCTCTTCTGTGCATGGAATTCTCCAGGCAAGAATACTGGAGTGGATTGCCATTCCCTTCTCCAGGGTGACTTAGTAGGAATATTTAAATATCAAAGTGTGTATGACTCCTACTGATACACATCATACAGGCGCCATGAGAGATGGCTCCACAGACATTATGAACCAAAATGTATCATGTGGATCCTTTTTGCTCATGCCAACACACAGTTAATATCGTCTTTCTTACCTTTCACTTTTGCGGTAAGCATTTCTGCAGCATTTTGAAGATCGACAGAATTGAGGTTCTGATGTTTACTCATTACAGACTTTAAAACACGAAGAAGTTCATCCAGACGTATATGAATGACTTCTTTAAAACACTCTTAAAGGAAAAAAAATTTTTTTAATTTGTTTCCCAAACCATGTTACAAGAATCTAAATAAACCATGAAAGACCCTTTGGTAGCACATTTCAAGCAGAAGCAGTGGCTCCAAAATTTTTGCCTACAGTATGGTCACTTTTATTTTCACCCACTGCAATTACATGTAACTCATTTAGCTTTCAAAAAATCCATAATCATTTTAATTCACTAAAGATTTCAAAGGCACTCATAGTCAGAGTCAACTTAGGCACTACCTTTTGCAGTTTTCTCAGTCTAAATGTGCTCTCCAGATTTCCCTTGAGGCAACTTTGTTTTTCCTGTCTTACAGTTTTTACTATTAATATACTTTTTAATACATATGGTAACAGTTAAAGCCCTATAAATGTCTGAAATATTAACTCGTATTAAATGGCACTTACATGTTAAGTTACCACATAAGAATTGACTCATCATTAAGCTATTATCAGGTATCAGAAATGAGCAACTCACAGGCATGTATGTAAGTACCACCATTTCACCTGTATATTTTAAAAACTGATACAATTTACATACAATAAAATGCATAGATTTATATGGTTCAATGAAATTTTATACTTTTAGAAAACCTGAATTAACTGCCAATGATGAAAAACTGGGGGATCATTACAAGAACTCCAGATTTATGCCTACACTTGAAAAATCAAAATGTGATTATACCAGGCTCACATCCTCCTTGGCCACAAGCAGCTGAAACAGAGCAGCACGGCTCTCTTTTAGGCATGCTTCCTTCCCAGCACCCACCTGCCTGCTCTGACATTTATAGTAGCCCTGGTCAAAGACATACAGACAACCTTTTATAACCCCTGGAAATAAGGTGACCATATAATTTATCTTTCAAACCGAAATACTCTAGCAAGTGAAAAGGGGGGCACCTGCCAGTAAACAGACATGTTTCTGGATCACCATTACTGGCAAACCAGAAAGTATACTCTAATCTTTAAAACCCCTGAACTAATCGTTAAAACTTTGAAAAGACAAACACCTGAAATACAATACTCTGATGTAATGTTCATTTCTATAACCTTATATATATAGCACTAGTGTTTAATAATGGCACATTTATAAAATGCTTCTTCATGTGTTGCTGCTGCTAAGTCGCTTCAGTCGTGTCCGACTCTGTGCGACCCCACAGATGGCAGCCCACCAGGCTCCCCCATCCCTGGGATTCTCCAGGCAAGAACACTGGAGTGGGTTGCCATTTCCTTCTCCAATGCATGAAAGTGAAAAGTGAAAGTGAAGTCACCCAGTCGTGTCCGACTCTTAGCGACCCCATGGACTGCAGCCTACCAGGCTCCTCCGTCCATGGGATTTTCCAGGCAAGAGTACTGGAGTGGGTTGCCATTGCCTTCTCCGTCCTTATGTGCTAGGCACTGTTAAAAGCACTTAAAGCCTATCACCTCATTTAATTTTCATATCAATTCTATTAGATAGATAATTTTAAAAATTTCCATTGTACATATGAGAGAACTGAGACACATCTAGGTTAACCAAGTCAGAATTTGAACCCAGGTTGTATAATTCTAAAAGCTAAGCTCTTAACATTATACTGTCTCCCTACTGAAATATTAAGAGCTTTAAAAAACATTTTTAAAGGCATGTTTTGTGATTATGCAAATTTCCCAGAAATATTAAAAGGCAGCCACTAGAAAGAAAATCTACAGGATGAAAAAACAAAAAAAAAACTCTACTATTATCTATCAAACACTCCATTCATTAACAGCATTATCACGAGCGAGAAGGAGCAGTACAGAAGGAGCAGACAAGGTGGGGAGCTGGGTATATTAGGGCAAAAAGGGTCCCTGGTAGAGGTGACGAGGAATCATTCAGTGGTGATGGGAGGAGAGCGAATAGAGTGCCTTCAGTAAAAATTCCGCTCATTCATCCCAAAATTTTAATAACAGATAAACCCAAGAGATTAGGTGCTGGCTTAAGCAGCTCTGGAAATGAGTGGAGTGTATAACATTAACGGCAAAGGAAATGCACATAAGCACTGGACTCTGGTTGATAGTTTTCAATGAGACTTCAGGTTAACAATGCTGATATTGCTCTACACGTATCCTGAAAGTGAACAACTGCATAACTGGATGGTGGGTGGTGGGAGCCAGCATGGCACTCCCCCCACCCCAGAAAAAAAGAGAGAAAGGAAAGCCAGTCATTTCTATCCCCTACTGTGATGCTGCAGATTAATTTCTACAGATATGAACATACTTAGGAAACAGTAGGTAAAAATACTTTGTCTTATTTTGAGGTCTCAGGAAAAAGAGCTTGATCTTTGTGGGTCAACAACAATCCTCAATATTCAAAATGGATATTGGATATTAAACAAGGCGGCTTCCCAGGTGACGCTAGTGGTAAAGAACCTACTGCCGATGCAGGAGATCCGAATTCAGTCCCTAAGTCAGGAAGATCCCCCAGAGAAGGAAATGGCAACTCACTCCAGTATTCTTGCTAGGAAAGTCCATGGACAGAGGAGCCTGGTTGGCTACAGTACATAGGGTCGCAAAGAGTTGGATACAACTGAGGCGACTTAGCATGTATGCACAAAATACTAATGGTTTAAATGCCTAAATAAACTAAGGTAATAAATTCTGGCTTTTTTAGAGTCAAGCAAATTAACTATGTGGAAATAAATATATTTCAAAATTATTATGTGTTTATTAATATATTTCAAATTTATTAGTGTTTCATATGTTTTAAAAAACATTATTATATATCTTTCAATGTTCTTAGTTTACAGTATATAGTAACAGATACAGCCCACAGAAACAAAAACTCTTCAGGATTCTTAATAATTTTTAACAGCATAGAGGGTCCTCAGAATCACTGCTATAATTTTTCTTAAAAATCACTGCAGAACATTCCAATAATTGTCAACATAAACATTCTACCAATTCGAAATTCCTTTTTTCCTACAAGGAAGCCCGTATAAGATACTGAAGTTGTTTTAAAGCAAAATACTGAAAGGCAGTAATTGAGTTATTCAGTAAGAAATTTCAGAAATATCTGAAATTACTCTATAAATAATTCCTATTTTCTGTGATGGAACACATCTCTGAAGTATATAAATCAATAGAAATGAACATGATAATTTAAAAAGCCTTATGTACAAAGATTCATAAACTCCCCTATGTACTTGAGCAGATGAGTTTAACTACTAGGATATCAGAATAGTCATAATATTTCAGCTGGGACGTTATAAAATAGCAAGCCCTTAATTATGTTTTATAATTTTAAAAATGTTAATGTTCTTTTTCCTTATAGGAGAATAAAGCTATCTCAAATTATTTTTATGAAGCAAAAGCTTCTTAAACTTTTATTTTTTTTAGAAAGTTTTATGTTTAGGCAGCTCCTTCACCAACACTAAATATCTCCAAACCACCAAAAGCAGCAACAATGAGCTAAGCAAAAAAAGACAGTAACTGTTCTTCCCCAGTGGCTTCCCCGGTGGCTCAGATGGTAAAGAATCTGCCTGCTATGTGGGAGACCTGAGTTTGATCCCTGGGTTGGGAAGATTACCCTGGAGAAGGGAATGGCAACCCACTCCAGTATTCTTGCCTGGAGAATTCCATCAACAGAGGAGCATGGCAGACTACAGTCCTTGGGTAGTCCATGGCAAAGAGCTGGACATGACTGAACTACTTTAGTTTTTTTCCAATACAGAAGAAAGGCATGCAGCTGATTGGTGTGGCAGAAAACAACAGATTTAAATCAAGAAACTTCCATTCCAATGCTTAATCTGCCACTTCCTTGAAATGACCATATACAAAACTCAGCTTCTCTAACCTCAGATTCATCATTTAAAATTCAAATTACCTTATTTGTTGTGAATATCAAAGAAATTGACGGAAACAGAAGTGCTTTATAGTTTTAATATATGCAACTATTATTACTATTAAATCTGAAAGCCATTCAAACTAAATACCTTTGAAAACAGATTTGTCCCACACAGAATTACACTCAGTAACAAATTACAGTATGGTTCCACAATATTTTAGTTAATGAAAAAGAGATATTAAAGTTAAATTTCAATTTAATTTTATATGTAAAATCTAAATTAGTAAACCACTTAGAAATAAAATAATTAAGAATATATTTTATAAAAATATTTCTATACCTACCAAGTAAATTATAGTATTTAATTTAGTCATATAATTACAAGATAATTTTTAAGTTTTATAGTGGCCATATTGTAAATGTAATAAAATTTAAATTACAGTACAATGGTATTAAATATGCAAATACTATAAGGTTCAATTAGTTTTAATACTAGCTATATAAAAGAGTAAAATTCCTGTATCCCAACATTTGCTTATCTACCATCCCTATATGGTAATCTGAATTTTAATTTATTGTTTCTTTCATTTATGCCATTTATTTTCTGCTTCACTCAGCTTATCAAGTGAGAACAGCTTAGCCAGTTCCACTTTTTGGTTCTCATGCATTAACACAATACCACAGTGTTTATATTGCAAACACTTCATGGAAATACTTAGGTAAATAAATAAGTGAAAAGGCCATGGTGTTTTCCTTGATTTAAAAAAATAAAAACTGACAATTTTTTAACTCAGTCTTATTAATTCAGTTTAACCTCTCTGGGAAAGCAATTAAAACAAGGAGGAGGGGGAAAGTTTTCAAAACTTATCACAAGGAAACTCACTTTTGTGTCTTTTGTAATGACTTCTGAATTTACAGGGTAAAAGTGAGGCTTTAACATCAACTTCCATTATCCAATCACTTGAGGATTGTAAAAATAGTTATAGTTCACATTTTAAAAGGCTTATTCTATGAGCCTTACATATATGAAGTATGAACTCATTTAATTTTTAAAATGACCCAGTAATGTAGGTACTACTATCTTATTTTAGGAAATGTGAAACTGAGGAAGAGAATACTGGTAACTTGCCCAGGGTTATATACAAATAGTGGCAGAATGAGAATTCCACCTCAGGGCTCTAGCTCTA